TCCCAGTGCACAGCAGTCTGATCCACTCCAGGCTTTACAGTGCTGTCAGTCTCACTCCCAGTGGTGTCCTCTGGCTCAGGTTTCTCTGCTGTATGGCTAGTTGCTTCAGCGGACGCTAGTGTTATCGTCCACACACGAGACCCCAAGGCTGGGCTGGGTTTGGGGGGTGGGGGTTGACGCTGTGTAAAGGTCTTGGCCTTCCCAGCCCTGTGGAAAATGACTGACACAACCCTCCCCACCTCCCGCCGTGCTGTCACGTCAGGCGGCCTTTCACAGCGCAGAGGCAGCCAGCCTGCCGGATTGAAGTGTAAATCGCTGTTTGGCGTTCGCCCACGGCGCACCGCCCTGCCAGGAGCCCAGCGCCGACGGGGGCAGGGCCTGACGCAGATGCTCCCAGGGAGGACTGACATTCCTCTTGCAGGGAAGTCTGGGCAAGTGCTGGGTGCCCTGCAGTAACTCTGTTAGTGGCCAAGGCGCGCCATCCTTTCTGCACTGACGCACGTGGGCGCGCGTGTGCGGGGGTGGGTGTGTGTGTGTGTGTGCGTGCTCGTGCGTGTGTGCTCTTGGGACGAGCGGGGCCTTGGCAGAAGAGTTGATGCAGTTTGCTCATAGAGGGTAAATATTTGTATCGGCTTCTTATTCTTAAAAATCAAACGAAACCCAACAGCGATCTGCCTTTGAGGAGGCTCCAGAGCGTTCTGGCAGGGGGCTGCCCGGAGAGGTGAAGGCCCCCACACACTCCTCCACCCCCTCGGAGTCCTGGCTGCAGACCCGGCTCCGGGAGAAGGCACGGTGCCTATTTGCATACACTTTGCATACAGCTGCCTGCCCAGAGCCCCCTCTGCCAGACTCCCGGCCCCAGGCCGTCTTCCTGCCTGCCGGCGTGTGGGGTTTCTGCTCTGGAACCTCGTGCTGAAAGCTGCTTTTGTTCGGCCCGGCAGCGAGAACGACGGTGGCCTTAGTCACCGGCTGCGGGGAAGGGCCGGTTTTTTGGGGACGGAGAAGAGGGAAGGATCTTCTTCCTGTGGTCCGTTGCTCGCATTGATGTCTTCACGCACATGGGGACTGTTCGGAGCTAGCAGCTGAGTAAGACAAGCCAACCCCCATAGTCCTTCACGCAGATCCCATGAAACAGTACTGATTCAGCCAATCGGGCCCAGCGCACAGCAGTCTGATCCACTCCAGGCTTTACAGTG